ATATACAACAATATACAACAATATACAACAATATACAACAATATACAACAATATATATACAACAATATACAACAATATATACACAAATATACACACAACAATACACAACAGTACACAATAATGAGGAGTATGGAACATCCTCGTTCATTCACTTTCTGTAAAGTCGTTCGATCTTCATGTTGTTCATATTTTTATCTCGTCTCTTGAAACAGACTCAGTTCCAGCTCAAACAAAACGAGTTTATTCTGATTTTAAAAACGACACATTTGGATCAGTCTGAGCTCAGAAAATATCAAAACTGCCTCTTTTCTCTAAAATAATTGAAAAAGTGGTTTGAAAACAGTTGACTGACTTTTTGCATTCCACAGAAACTGCACTTCTGAAAGTCTCTGATGTTATTCTGACGGTGTTTGACGCTGGACTCTCTCCAGTGTTGGTTTTATTAAACCTCACCTCAGATTCTGACACTGTAGATCACAAAATGTTACTGCATCATTTACACAAAGTTTTTGGGATCAGTGGGTCAGTCCTAGATTGTTTTTTGTCTTATTTGAGTGACAGATCCTTTTCTGTTTCCGTCAATAATATCGTGTCTGAAGAGTCACCCCTGACCTGTGGTCCCCGCAGGGGTCGGTCCTGGGGCCACTTCTTTTCTTTTTGTACATTTTTCCAGTTGGTCAAATTGTGAAATGTTTCAAGAATGTTTCGTATCATTTGTTTGCTGACGATAAAAAACTGTTTTGTTCTTTTAAAGAAACAGAAATGCACCGACTAAAAACCTCCTGCGGAGCTTCTCTCGTTCAAAAAAATGACTTTCTGAAACCTTCTTGCAGCTTAATGATGAAAAAACAGAAACTTTTATTCTGGCACCAGATGAAAAAATTCCTCAAATTAAGGATCATCTCGTCTCACTGAGCCTCAGTCCAGTTAGAAATGTGTGAGTCTGTTGGTCTGTTTTTATCAGCTTCAGAACGTCACTAAACTCAGACCAAGTTTATCAAACGCTGATCCTGAAATGATTGTTCACTCTTTTATTTAATCTCGTTTAGATTATTGTAATTCTCTTTTCACTTGTTTTAATGCTTCTACGTTTAAGCAGCTGTGACTTGTACAAAACTCACATCAGTTTAATCTTCTCTGCTCTGGCTCCTGTTCATGTTCATGTTGATTTTAAAATCTTGGTTTTAACTTCCAGAGCTTTAAATGATCAGGCGCCTCAGAACACCAGGGACTTACTGCCTCAGGTCCTCAGGTCACACACTCTGGTCCTCGGGTCACACACTCTGGTCCTCGGGTCACACACTCTGGTCCTCGGGTCACACATTCAGGTCCTCGGGTCACAGCCTCAGGTCCTCGGGTCACACACTCAGGTCCTCGGGTCACACACTCAGGTCCTCGGGTCACACACTCTGGTCCTCGGGTCACACACTCAGGTCCTCGGGTCACACACTCAGGTCCTCGGGTCACACATTCAGGCCCTCGGGTCACAGCCTCAGGTCCTCGGGTCACACACTCAGGTCCTCGGGTCACACACTCAGGTCCTCGGGTCACACACTCAGGTCCTCGGGTCACACACTCTGGTCCTCGGGTCACACACTCTGGTCCTCGGGTCACACACTCAGGTCCTCGGGTCACACACTCAGGTCCTCGGGTCACACACTCTGGTCCTCGGGTCACACACTCAGGTCCTTTGATGATCCCATAGACCTGATTTAAACCTCAGGGGTCGTGTGTTCTCAGGTCGTGGCTCTGGTCGTACATGAGACTCAGAGTCTTTTATAAAAACAGCTCAACACTCTGATGTTTCGACTTGAGGTTTTTATTCGACTGTTTGTGATTCTTCTCTTTTTGTTTATGTTGTTTTTATGTTTTTTGTTCTGTAAAACACTTTGTCATTTTTTATCTGTGAAAGGTGCAATAGAAATAAACAAAATACAACAAAATACAACAAAATACAACAAAATACAACACTACACAACTTTACACCGGCGCCATAAAGTCACATGTGAAGTGTCTCCGTGAAAACGCACGCACACGCACACACACACACGCGCACGCGCAGCTGAAGCGTCGTTTCTGTCAGTGCTGTTTTTTCCCACGGTCCGTGAACGCGTCTGTAGTTATGACTCATCCTGAAGCGGCGCGCTCCTGAACGCACCTCGGAGCACCGCGGCGCGTCGCTCCGCTCTCCCCGACACCGCCGCCTGTCTCCGGGCAGAGGACACGTCCAGAAGCGCCCCGCCGCCGCCACACCGTGCGTCAACCTGCGCGACACGAGCCGTGTGCGCGTCCTGCCGCCTCCTGCCGCCTTCTGCCGCCGAGGTTCGCCGCGTCTTGCCGCTCCCTGCTCCCAGCTGCTGCCGCTCCTCTCCGCCCGTGAGACGCGCGTGGCCTCGCGTGATTCCGCCGCATCCCGGTCCGGAGCTTCGGCCTTTTGGATCGGACCGAGTTCGGTTTGAGCGGCGCAGACGGAGAGAATCAGCCCCGCGCAGACGAGGTGAGACCAGCACGGACACGGCCGCGAGCGCCGCGCACACCCGCGCACGGACCCGCACACACGCGCGCACCACGGTCAAACACCCGCACAGACCCGCGCGCACAGGTGTTTCACGGACGCGGCCCGTTTCACACGTTTAATGACCCGAGAAACACCGAGAAACACAGAGGAACACCGAGGCGTTTACCGCATCCGCCGCGCGCACGGACACACACACTCCCGGTAACACCGCGCTCTCAGGTCACCGCCTGATCCTGGTTCAGTCCAGGTTGAGTCCAGGTTGAGTCCAGGTTGAGTCCTGTTTTAGTCCTGTTTTAGTCCTGTTTAGTCCTGGTTTAGTCCTGTTTTAGTCCTGGTTTAGACCTGGTTTAGACCTGGTTTAGTCCTGGTTTAGTCCTGGTTTAGACCTGGTTTAGACCTGGTTTAGACCTGGTTTAGTCCTGGTTTAGACCGGGAGCGCTAGTCTCTGCTGGATGTTGTGGTGTTGCCTCGTGCACGGCCCGGTGGTCTCGTGCACGGCCCGGTGGTCTCGTGCACGGCCCGGTGGTCTCGTGCACGGCCCGGTGGTCTCGTGCACGGCCCGGTGGTCTCGTGCACGGCCCGGTGGTCTCGTGCACGGCCCGGTGGTCTCGGGCTCGCGCGCTTCGCCTCGTGCTGTAAAATGGCGTGAATCAGATTTTTGTGATTTTGGATGAAAATGTGAATCAAAACCCACAAAGACCAGAACTAGTCCTGGTTTAGTCCTGGTTTAGTCCTGGTTTAGTCCTGGTTTAGTCCTGGTTTAGTTCTGGTTTAGTCCTGGTTTAGTCCTGGTTTAGTTCTGGTTTAGTCCTGGTTTAGTTCCTGGTTTAGTCCTGGTTTAGTCTGGTTTAGTCCTGATTTAGTCCTGGTTTAGTTCTGGTTTAGTCCTGGTTTAGTCCTGGTTTAGTCCTGGTTTAGTCCTGGTTTAGTCCTGGTTTAGTTCTGGTTTAGTCCTGGTTTAGTTTTGGTTTAGTCCTCCAGCAGTACGAGTCTGTACGAGGCTCCGCCCACAGGCCCACGTCCCCCACACAACAAAAAATGTTCAAATCGACTCTGACAGAGTCAGTTTGAACATTTAACATTTCCTCAGTGTTTCTCTGAGTCACTCTGTTCTAGAGTTAATTTAACATTTGTGCAAAAGTTCATGAAGTAAAACTGGACCAAAGTTTCAGTTTAACTCCAAATCCAGAGTTAAATGAAGGTTTAGAGAGTAAACAGAAAACACTTTGTTCAAACTGGTTCTTCTCTGGAGGGAGTTTGAAGTTTAAATTAACAATAAGAGAAGTTGAATTAACTTCAACCAAATCAACTCGAACATCCATTTAACTCTCAAAGAGTTAAAATAAAACACTGTTTGTGTTAAAAACAAATCTGAAATATTTTACTCTAAAATTTGAACCGTTTTTCTCCAGTGTGGATTTGATGTTTTTGTAAGAGTCAAGGAGTTTCTCACCTGATCTTCTTTGTCTTCTGCTTTGTCCCACCGTCCTCCTCCTCGTCCCTGTCGTCCCTGTCGTCCCTGTCGTCCCTGTCGTCCCTGTCGTCCCTGTCCTCATCCTCCTCCTCCTCTTCGTCCTCTGTCCTGTCCTCCTGTCCTCATCCTCCTCCTCGTCCTCCTCCTCGTCCTCCTCCTCGTTCTCGTCCTCGTCCTCGTTCTCGTCCTTGTCCTCTTCGTCCTCCTCTCGTCCTCGTCCTTGTCCTCCTCCTCGTCCTCGTCCCTGTCCTCGTCCTCCTCCCTCGTCCTCGTCCTCCTCGTCTCCTCCTCCTCGTCCTCGTCCTCGTCCTCCTCCCTGTCCTCTCGTCCTCCTCCTCCTCCTCCTCCTCTCCTCGTCCTCGTCTCGTCCTTGTCCTCCTCCTCCTCCTCGTCCTCGTCCTCCTCCTCGTCCTCCTCCTCGTCCTCCTCCTCGTTCTCGTCCTCGTCCTCGTTCTCGTCCTTGTCCTCTTCGTCCTCCTCCTCGTCCTCGTCCTCGTCCTTGTCCTCCTCCTCGTCCTCGTCCTCGTCCTCCTCCTCGTCTCGTCCTCCCTGTCCTCCTCCTCGTCCTCGTCCTTGTCCTCCTCCTCGTCCTCGTCCCTGTCCTCTTCGTCCTCCTCCTCATCCTCCTCTCCTCCTCGTCCCTGTCCTCCTCCTCGTCCTCGTCCTCCTCCTCGTCCCTGTCCTCCTCCTCGTCCTCGTCCTCGTCCTCCTCCTCGTCCTTGTCCTCGTCTTCTTCCTCGTCCTCGTCCCTGTCCTCTCCTCGTCTCGTCCTCCTCCTCGTCCTCGTCCCTGTCCTCCTCTCGTCCTCGTCCTCCTCCTCGTCCTCCTCCTCTGTCCTTGTCCTCGTCTTCTTCCTCGTCCTCGTCCTCGTCCTCCTCCTCGTCCTCGTCCCTGTCCTCCTCCTCGTCCTCGTCCTCCTCCTCGTCCTCGTCCCCTCCTCGTCTCGTCCTCCTCTCGTCCTCGTCCTCGTCCTCGTCCTCCTCCTCGTCCTCTGTCCTCGTCCCTCAGATGGCGAAGGCGGACCAGCGCTTCGGGCAGAGGGACGGCTCGGACCAGAACTTCGACTACATGTTCAAGCTGCTGATCATCGGGAACAGCAGCGTGGGGAAGACCTCGTTCCTCTTCAGATACGCCGACGACTCCTTCAGTAACTCCTTCGTCTCCACCGTCGGCATCGACTTCAAGGTGAAGACGGTTTACCGCAACGACAAGAGGATCAAGCTGCAGATCTGGGTACGACCGCGACGTCGCTCTGGAGATGTTCTAACTGTGTTCTTCTGGGGTCCAGCGTCTCGTCTCAGCTCCGTCTAAATACTGAGGTCCACAGAGCAGGTCCCACAGAGAAGGTCCACAGAGCAGGTCCTACAGAGAAGGTCCACAGAGCAGGTCCACAGAGAAGGTCCACAGAGCAGGTCCACAGAGCAGGTCCACAGAGAAGGTCCACAGAGCAGGTCCACAGAGCAGGTCCACAGAGCAGGTCCCACAGAGAAGGTCCACAGAGAAGGTCCCACAGAGAAGGTCCCACAGAGAAGGTCCACAGAGCAGGTCCACAGAGAAGGTCCACAGAGAAGGTCCCACAGAGAAGGTCCCACAGAGAAGGTCCCACAGAGAAGGTCCCACAGAGAAGGTCCACAGAGAAGGTCCCACAGAGAAGGTCCACAGAGAAGGTCCTACAGAGAAGGTCCTACACAGAAGGTCCCACAGAGAAGGTCCCACAGAGAAGGTCAGTCCACAGAGCAGGTCCACAGAGCAGGTCCACAGAGCAGGTCCACAGAGCAGGTCCACAGAGCAGGTCCCACAGAGAAGGTCCACAGAGCAGGTCACAGAGAAGGTCCACAGAGCAGGTCCCACAGAGAAGGTCCACAGAGAAGGTCCACAGAGCAGTCCACAGAGCAGGTCCACAGAGAGGTCCACAGACAGGTCCACAGAGAAGGTCCACAGAGAAGGTCCACAGAGAAGGTCCCACAGAGAAGGTCCCACAGAGAAGGTCCCACAGAGAAGGTCCACAGAGAAGGTCCACAGAGCAGGTCCACAGAGAAGGTCCTACAGAGAAGGTCCTACACAGAAGGTCCCACAGAGCAGGTCCCACAGAGCAGGTCCCACAGAGAAGGTCCCACAGAGAAGGTCCCACAGAGAAGGTCCCACAGAGAAGGTCCACAGAGAAGGTCACAGAGAAGGTCCACAGAGCAGGTCCACAGAAGGTCCTACAGAGAAGGTCCACAGAAGGTCCCACAGAGAAGGTCCCACAGAGAAGGTCCCACAGAGAAGGTCCACAGAGAAGGTCCCACAGAGAAGGTCCCACAGAGAAGGTCCCACAGAGAAGGTCCCACAGAGAAGGTCCCACAGAGAAGGTCCTACAGAGAAGGTCCTACAGAGAAGGTCCCACAGAGAAGGTCCTACAGAGAAGGTCCCACAGAGAAGGTCCCACAGAGAAGGTCCCACAGAGAAGGTCCCACAGAGAAGGTCCCACAGAGCAGGTTCCTCAGAGCAGGTCCACCAAAACCACCTCACTTTTCTTCAGACTTTAACCCTTAAAGCTCCTGAATCTCAAAAACTCTAAGTCATGTTCTGATGTTCTGATGTTCTGATGTTCCTCCTCACACTCAGATCTGTTTACATCAAACCTCCAAATGCTCTGCTCCACCTCGTGATGTCATGAAGTGGGAGTTTTCACAGGGTTCCCGCTCTTTTAACTTTTCCATGACTTCTCCATGACACTCAAGTGAATGTTCCAGGACTTTCCAGCACCTACGTGTGAAGAACCGATCAGAGTTTTAGGTGAACAGACTCATGAGACCTGAACGGGAAAGAGAGAGACTCAAATTCCACGACTTTTCCAAAACTTTCATTGAATTTAAAAAATAATCCATGACTTTTCCAGGATTTCCATGACCGTGAGAACCTGTTTTCAAGTCCTCAGCTGCTTTTTTTCTTTAGTTCGATCGAGATCAACGACTCCACGACTGAAAAAAAACAAAACGATTCAGATGATTCTTTTACTTGAAGTTGTGTGGAGTTTAAAAACGCAGTGGAGCACTTCCTGTACGGCCACACGATGACATCACGAGGTGGGACGGGGTGTTTTCAGTTTGAGAGACGAGCTCGGGTTCAGTGTTCAGGTTTTTGAGTTGAACGTGTGAAAGAATCAAACTCGTCTCCAGGAGGTTTTGTGAGGACGAGTGCAGGAGGATTAAAGCCCCACTGCGGGATATTTCTCCACACTGTCCTGTCCTGCGCTGTGATTGGTCCGAGGGTTTCCTGGTTTGGTCGGGCTGCTCTGATTGGCCCGGCCGCCTCCCGCTGAGCGTCTCCAGGGAAACCTTTGATGAGCGGCTGTTGTCATGGAAACAGAGGAGAAAAACAGACGGGAGGACAGGGCCTGCTCCTGTCACTGCTCCTGTCACTGCTCCTGTCAGGTCCTGTCACTGCTCCTGTCTGACCTGGTTCAGTTCTGGTTTAGTTCTGGTCCTGGTCCTGGTCCTGGTTTAGTCCTGGTCTTGATCCTGGTCCTGGTCTTGGTCTTGGTCTTGTTTCTGTGTGTGTCTGTCGCCCTCTGCAGGACACGGTGGGGCAGGAGCGTTATGTGGCTCTGGTCTTGGTCTTGGTCCTGGCTCTGGTCTTGGTCCTGGTCCTGGTCTTGGTCCTGGTCTTGGTCCTGGTTTAGTCCTGGTTCTGGTTCAGTGTGTGTTTGTCGCCCTCTGCAGGACACGGCGGGGCAGGAGCGTTATGTGGCTCTGGTCTTGGCTCTGGTCTTGGCTCTGGCTCTGGTCTTGGTCCTGGTCCTGGCTCTGGTCTTGGTCCTGGTCTTGGTCCTGGTCCTGGTCCTGGTCTTGGTCCTGGTCTTGTTTCAGTGTGTCTGTCGCCCTCTGCAGGACACGGCGGGGCAGGAGCGTTATGTGGCTCTGGTCTTGGCTCTGGTCTTGGCTCCTGGTCTCTGGTCTTGGTCCTGGTCCTGGCTCTTGGTCTTGGTCCTGGTCTTGGTCCTGGTCCTGGTCCTGGTCCTGGTCTTGGTCTGGTCTTGTTTCAGTGTGTCTGTCGCCCTCTGCAGGACACGGCGGGGCAGGAGCGTTATGTGGCTCTGGTCTTGGTCTTGGTCCTGGCTCTGGTCTTGGTCCTGGTCCTGGTCCTGGCTCTGGTCCTGGTCCTGGTCCTGGTCTTGGTCCTGGTCTTGTTTCAGTGTGTCTGTCGCCCTCTGCAGGACACGGCGGGGCAGGAGCGTTATCGGACCATCACGACGGCGTATTACCGCGGCGCCATGGGCTTCATCCTCATGTACGACATCACCAACGAGGAATCCTTCAACGCCGTCCAGGACTGGTGAGTCCCAGTCCAGACCGGGTCCAGACCGAGTCCAGACCGGGTCCAGACCGAGTCCAGACCGGGTCCAGACCGGGTCCAGACCGAGTCCAGACCGAGTCTAGACTGGAAATGGTTTAGATCACCTTTTAGTTCAGTTTTAGACTGGGTTTAGTCCTGGTCCTGGTCTAGTCCTGGTCTAGTCCTGGTCTAGTCCTGGTCTAGTCCTGGTTTATTCCTGGTCTAGTCCTGGTCTAGTCCTGGTCCTGGTCTAGTCCTGGTCCTGGTCTAGTACTGGTCCTGGTTTAGTTCTGGTCCTGGTCTAGTCCTGGTCCTGGTTTAGTCCTGGTTTAGTCCTGGTCTAGTCCTGGTCTAGTCCTGGTCCTGGTTTAGTCCCGGTGTAGTCCTGGTTTAGTCCTGGTCTAGTCCTGGTCCTCGTTTAGTCCTGGTCTAGTCCTGGTCTAGTCCTGGTCTGGTTTAGTCCTGGTTTAGTCCTGGTTCTAGTCCTGGTTTAGTCCTGGTTTAGTCCTGGTCTAGTCCTGGTCTAGTCCTGGTTTAGTCCTGGTTTAGTCCTGGTCTAGTCCTGGTCTAGTCCTGCTCTAGTCCTGGTTTAGTCCTGGTTTAGTCCTGGTTTAGTCCTGGTTAGTCCTGGTCTAGTCTAGTCCTGGTTTAGTCCTGGTCTAGTCCTGGTCCTAGTCCTGGTCTAGTCCTGTCTAGTCCTGTCTAGTCCTGGTTAGTCCTGGTCCTGTCTAGTCTAGTCCTGGTCTAGTCCTAGTCCTGGTTTAGTCCTGGTCTAGTCCTGGTTAGTCCTGGTCCTAGTCCTGGTTTAGTCCTGGTTTAGTCCTAGTCTAGTCCTGGTTTAGTCCTGGTCTAGTCCTGGTTTAGTCCTGGTTTAGTCCTGGTTTAGTCCTGGTTTAGTCCTGGTCTAGTCCTGGTTTAGTCCTGGTCTAGTCCTGGTCTAGTCCTGGTCTAGTCCTGGTTTAGTCCTGGTTTAGTCCTGGTCTAGTCCTGGTCTAGTCCTGGTTTAGTCTAGTCCTGGTCTAGTCCTGGTTTAGTCCTGGTTTAGTCCTGGTCTAGTCCTGGTTTAGTCCTGGTCTAGTCCTGGTTTAGTCCTGGTTTAGTCCTGGTCTAGTCCTGGTTTAGTCCTGGTTTAGTCCCGGTGTGTGTTTCAGGGCGACTCAGATAAAGACGTACTCGTGGGACAACGCTCAGGTGATTCTCGTCGGAAACAAATGTGACGTGGACGAAGAACGAGTCGTTCCCCCGGAGAAAGGAAAACACCTGGCCGACCAACTGGGTACGTGTACAAGTACTACAAGTACTACTACTACTGCACCTGGCCGACCAACTGGGTACGTGTACAAGTACTACAAGTACTACTACTACTGCACCTGGCCGACCAACTGGGTACGTGTACAAGTACTACAAGTACTACTACTACTGCACCTGGCCGACCAACTGGGTACGTGTACAAGTACTACAAGTACTACTACTACTGCACCTGGCCGACCAACTGGGTACGTGTACAAGTACTACAAGTACTACTACTACTGCACCTGGCCGACCAACTGGGTACGTGTACAAGTACTACAAGTACTACTACTACTACTGCACCTGGCCGACCCAACTGGGTACGTGTACAAGTACTACAAGTACTACAAATACTACTACTACTGCACCTGGCCGACCAACTGGGTACGTGTACAAGTACTACAAGTACTACAAATACTACTACTACTGCACCTGGCCGACCAACTGGGTACGTGTACAAGTACTACAAGTACTACAAATACTACTACTACTACTACTACTGCACCTGGCCGACCAACTGGGTACGTGTACAAGTACTACAAGTACTACAAATACTACTACTACTGCACCTGGCCGACCAACTGGGTACGTGTACAAGTACTACAAGTACTACAAGTACTACTACTACTGCACCTGGCCGACCAACTGGGTACGTGTACAAGTACTACAAGTACTACAAATACTACTACTACTGCACCTGGCCGACCAACTGGGTACGTGTACAAGTACTACAAGTACTACAAATACTACTACTACTGCACCTGGCCGACCAACTGGGTACGTGTACAAGTACTACAAGTACTACAAATACTACTACTACTGCACCTGGCCGACCAACTGGGTACGTGTACAAGTACTACAAGTACTACAAATACTACTACTACTGCACCTGGCCGACCAACTGGGTACGTGTACAAGTACTACGAGTACTACAAGTACTACTACTACTACTACTACTACTGCACCTGGCCGACCAACTGGGTACGTGTACAAGTACTACAAGTACTACAAATACTACTACTACTGCACCTGGCCGACCAACTGGGTACGTGTACAAGTACTACAAGTACTACAAAGTACTACTACTACTGCACCTGGCCGACCAACTGGGTACGTGTACAAGTACTACAAGTACTACAAATACTACTACTACTGCACCTGGCCGACCAACTGGGTACGTGTACAAGTACTACAAGTACTACAAATACTACTACTACTGCACCTGGCCGACCAACTGGGTACGTGTACAAGTACTACAAGTACTACAAATACTACTACTACTGCACCTGGCCGACCAACTGGGTACGTGTACAAGTACTACAAGTACTACAATACTACTACTACTGCACCTGGCCGACCAACTGGGTACGTGTACAAGTACTACAAGTACTACAAATACTACTACTACTGCACCTGGCCGACCAACTGGGTACGTGTACAAGTACTACTACTACAAGTACTACTACTACTGCACCTGGCCGACCAACTGGGTACGTGTACAAGTACTACAAGTACTACAAATACTACTACTACTGCACCTGGCCGACCAACTGGGTACGTGTACAAGTACTACAAGTACTACAAATACTACTGCTACTGCACCTGGCCGACCAACTGGGTACGTGTACAAGTACTACAAGTACTACAAATACTACTACTACTGCACCTGGCCGACCAACTGGTACGTGTACAAGTACTACAAGTACTACAAATACTACTACTACTGCACCTGGCCGACCAACTGGGTACGTGTACAAGTACTACAAGTACTACAAATACTACTACTACTGCACCTGGCCGACCAACTGGGTACGTGTACAAGTACTACGAGTACTACAAGTACTACTACTACTACTACTACTACTACTGCACCTGGCCGACCAACTGGGTACGTGTACAAGTACTACAAGTACTACAAATACTACTACTACTGCACCTGGCCGACCAACTGGGTACGTGTACAAGTACTACAAGTACTACTACTACTGCACCTGGCCGACCAACTGGGTACGTGTACAAGTACTACAAGTACTACAAATACTACTACTACTGCACCTGGCCGACCAACTGGGTACGTGTACAAGTACTACAAGTACTACAAATACTACTACTACTGCACCTGGCCGACCAACTGGGTACGTGTACAAGTACTACAAGTACTACTACTACTGCACCTGGCCGACCAACTGGGTACGTGTACAAGTACTACAAGTACTACAAATACTACTACTACTGCACCTGGCCGACCAACTGGGTACGTGTACAAGTACTACAAGTACTACAAATACTACTACTACTGCACCTGGCCGACCAACTGGGTACGTGTACAAGTACTACAAGTACTACTACTACTACTACTACTGCACCTGGCCGACCAACTGGGTACGTGTACAAGTACTACAAGTACTACAAATACTACTACTACTGCACCTGGCCGACCAACTGGGTACGTGTACAAGTACTACAAGTACTACAAATACTACTACTACTGCACCTGGCCGACCAACTGGTACGTGTACAAGTACTACAAGTACTACAAATACTACTACTACTGCACCTGGCCGACCAACTGGGTACGTGTACAAGTACTACAAGTACTACAAATACTACTACTACTGCACCTGGCCGACCAACTGGGTATGTGTACAAGTACTACAAGTACTACAAATACTACTACTACTGCACCTGGCCGACCAACTGGGTACGTGTACAAGTACTACAAGTACTACAAATACTACTACTACTGCACCTGGCCGACCAACTGGGTACGTGTACAAGTACTACAAGTACTACAAGTACTACAAGTACTACTACTACTGCACCTGGCCGACCAACTGGGTACGTGTACAAGTACTACAAGTACTACAAATACCACTACTACTACTACTACTGCACCTGGCCGACCAACTGGGTACGTGTACAAGTACTACAAATACTACTACTACTACTACTACTGCACCTGGCCGACCAACTGGGTACGTGTACAAGTACTACAAGTACTACAATACTACTACTACTACTGCACCTGGCCGACCAACTGGGTACGTGTACAAGTACTACAAGTACTACAAGTACTACTACTACTACTACTACTACTGCACCTGGCCGACCAACTGGGTACGTGTACAAGTACTACAAGTACTACAATTACTACTACTACTGCCACCTGGCCGACCAACTGGGTACGTGTACAAGTACTACAAGTACTAAAAACACTACTACTACTACTGCACCTGGCCGACCAAACTGGGTACGTGTACAAGTACTACAAGTACTACAAAACTACTACTACTACTGCACCTGGCCGACCAACTGGTACGTGTACAAGTACTACAAGTACTACAAATACTACTACTACTGCACCTGGCCGACCAACTGGGTACGTGTACAAGTACTACAAGTACTACAAAGTACTACTACTACTACTACTACTACTGCACCTGGCCGACCAACTGGGTACGTGTACAAGTACTACAAGTACTACAAATACTACTACTACTGCACCTGGCCGACCAACTGGGTACGTGTACAAGTACCTACAAGTACTACAAGTACTACTACTACTACTGCACCTGGCCGACCAACTGGGTACGTGTACAAGTACTACAAGTACTACAAATACTACTACTACTGCACCTGGCCGACCAACTGGTACGTGTACAAGTACTACAAGTACTACACTACTACTACTGCACCTGGCCGACCAACTGGGTACGTGTACAAGTACTACAAGTACTACTACTACTGCACCTGGCCGACCAACTGGGTAGTGTACAAGTACTACAAGTACTACAAATACTACTACTACTGCACTGGCCGACCACTGGTAGTACAAGTACAAGTACTACAAAGTACTACTACTACCACTGGTACGTGTACTACACTACTACTACTACTGCACCTGGCGACCAACTGGGTACGTGTACAAGTACTACAAGTACTACAAATACTACTGCTACTGCACCTGGCCGACCAACTGGTACGTGTACAAGTACTACAAGTACTACAAATACTACTACTACTGCACCTGGCCGACCAACTGGGTACGTGTACAAGTACTACAAGTACTACAAATACTACTACTACTGCACCTGGCCGACCAACTGGGTACGTGTACAAGTACTACAAGTACTACAATACTACTACTACTGCACCTGGGCCGACCAACTGGGTACGTGTACAAGTACTACAAGTACTACAAACTACTACTACTACTACTGCACCTGGCCGACCAACTGGGTACGGTGTACAAGTACTACAAGTACTACACTACTACTACTACTACTGCACCTGGCCGACCAACTGGGTACTGTACAAGTGTACTACAAGTACTACTACTACTACTACTACTACTGCACCTGGCCGACCAACTGGGTACGTGTACAAGTACTACAAGTACTACAAATACTACTACTACTGCCACCTGGCCGACCAACTGGGTACGTGTACAAGTACTACAAGTACTACAAACTACTACTACTACTGCACCTGGCCGACCAACTGGGTACGTGTACAAGTACTACAAGTACTACAAACTACTACTACAACTGCACCTGGCCGACCAACTGGTACAAGTACTACAAGTACTACAAATACTACTACTACTGCACCTGGCCGACCAACTGGTACGTGTACAAGTACTACGAGTACTACAGTACTACTACTACTACTACTACTACTGCACCTGGCCGACCAACTGGGTACGTGTACAAGTACTACAACTACTACTACTACTGCACCTTGGCCCGACCAACTGGGTACTACAAGTACTACGAGTACTACAAGTACTACTACTACTACTACTACTACTGCACCTGGCCGACCAACTGGGTACGTGTACAAGTACTACAAGTACTACAAATACTACTACTACTACTACTACTGCACCTGGCCGACCAACTGGGTACGTGTACAAGTACTACAAGTACTACAAGTACTACTACTACTGCACCTGGCCGACCAACTGGGTACGTGTACAAGTACTACAAGTACTACTACTACTACTACTGCACCTGGCCGACCAACGGGGTACGTGTACAAGTACTACAAGTACTAACAACTACTACTACTGGCCGACCAACTGGGTACGTGTACAAGTACTACAAGTACTACAAGTACTACTACTACTGCACCTGGCCGACCAACTGGGTACGTGTACAAGTACTACAAGTACTACAAGTACTACTACTACTGCACCTGGCCGACCAACTGGGTACGTGTACAAGTACTACAAGTACTACAAATACTACTACTACTGCACCTGGCCGACCTACTGGGTACGTGTACAAGTACTACTTACTACTACTACTACTACTACTACTACTACTACTACTGCACCTCGCCGACCAGCTGGGTACGTGTACAAGTACTACAAGTACTACAAGTACTACTACTACTACTACTACTACTACTACTACTACTACTACTACTACTACTGCACCTGGCGACCAGCTGGGGACTACAAGTACTACAAGTACTACTACTACTGCACCTGGCCGACCAACTGGGTACGTGTACAAGTACTACTACTACTACTACTACTACTACTACTACTACTACTACTGCACCTCGCCGACCAGCTGGGTACGTGTACAAGTACTACAAGTACTACTACTACTGCACCTGGCCGACCAACTGCGTACGTGTACAAGTACTACAAGTACTACAAGTACTACTACTACTGCACCTGGCCGACCAACTGGGTATGTGTACAAGTACTACAAGTACTACAAATACTACTACTACTGCACCTGGCCGACCAACTGGGTACGTGTACAAGTACTACAAGTACTACAAATACTACTACTACTGCACCTGGCCGACCAACTGGGTACGTGTACAAGTACTACAAGTACTACTACTACTACTACACTTACTGCACCTGGCCGACCAACTGGGTACGTGTACAAGTACTACAAGTACTACAAATACTACTACTACTGCACCTGGCCGACCAACTGGGTACGTGTACAAGTACTACAAGTACTACAAGTACTACAAATACTACTACTACTGCACCTGGCCGACCAACTGGGTACGTGTACAAGTACTACAAGTACTACAAACTACTACTACTACTGCACCTGGCCGACCAACTGGGTACGTGTACAAGTACTACAAGTACTACAAATACCACTACTACTACTACTACTGCACCTGGCCGACCAACTGGGTACGTGTACAAGTACTACAAATACTACTACTACTACTACTACTGCACCTGGCCGACCAACTGGGTACGTGTACAAGTACTACAAGTACTACAAATACTACTACTACTACTGCACCTGGCCGACCAACTGGGTACGTGTACAAGTACTACGAGTACTACAAGTACTACTACTACTACTACTACTGCACCTGGCCGACCAACTGGGTATGTGTACAAGTACTACAAGTACTACAAATACTACTACTACTACTACTACTGCACCTGGCCGACCAACTGGGTACGTGTACAAGTACTACAAGTACTACTACTACTGCACCTGGCCGACCAACTGGGTACGTGTACAAGTACTACGAGTACTACAAGTACTACTACTACTACTACTACTACTGCACCTGGCCGACCAACTGGGTACGTGTACAAGTACTACAAGTACTACAAATACTACAAATACTACTACTACTACTACTACTGCACCTGGCCGACCAACTGGGTACGTGTACAAGTACTACAAGTACTACAAGTACAAATACTACTACTGCACCTGGCCGACAACTGGGTACGTGTACAAGTACTACAAGTACTACAAGTACTACTACTACTGCACCTGGCCGACCAACTGGGTACGTGTACAAGTACTACAAGTACTACAAATACTACTACTACTGCACCTGGCCGACCAACTGGGTACGTGTACAAGTACTAAAAGTACTACAAATACTACTACTACTACTACTACTGCACCTGGCCGACCAACTGGGTACGTGTACAAGTACTACAAGTACTACAAATACTACTACTACTGCACCTGGCCGACCAACTGGGTACGTGTACAAGTACTACAAGTACTACAAATACTACTACTACTGCACCTGGCCGACCAACTGGGTACGTGTACAAGTACTACAAGTACTACAAGTACTACTACTACTGCACTAAGTACTACAAGTACTACAAACTACAAATACTACTACTACTGCACCTGGCCGACCTACTGGGTACGTGTACAAGTACTATACTACTACTACTACTACTACTACTACTACTACTGCACCTCGCCGACCAGCTGGGTACGTGTACAAGTACTACAAGTACTACAAGTACTACTACTACTACTACTACTACTACTACTACTACTACTACTACTGCACCTGGCCGACCAGCTGGGGACATGTACAAGTACTACAAGTACTACTACTACTACACCTGGCCGACCAACTGGGTACGTGTACAAGTACTACTACTACTACTACTACTACTACTTTACTACTACTACTACTGCACCTCGCCGACCAGCTGGGTACGTGTACAAGTACTACAAGTACTACTACTACTACAGCTGGCCGACCAACTGGGTACTTGTACACGTACTACAAGTACTACAAGTACTACTACTACTGCACCTGGCCGACCAACTGGGTACGTGTACAAGTACTACTACTACTACTAACTACTACACTACTACTACAAGCTACTACTACTACTACTACTACTACTACTACTGCACCGCCGACCAACTGGGTACGTGTACAAGTACTACAAGTACTACAAGTACTACTACTACTGCACCTGGCCGACCAACTGGGTACGTGTACAAGTACTACAAGTACTACAAGTACTGCAAGTACTATTACTACTGCACCTGGCCGACCAACTGGGTACGTGTACAAGTACTACAAGTACTACTACTACTACTACTACTGCACCTGGCCGACCAACTGGGTACGTGTACAAGTACTACAAGTACTACTACTACTACAAGTACTACTACTACTACTACTACTACAAATACTACTACTACTACTACTACAAGTACTACTCCTACTACTACTACTACTACTACTACAAGTACTACTCCTACTACTACTACTACTACTACTACTACTTACTTACTACTACTAGTAGTTGTCTTGCACCCCTGCAGGTTTCGAGTACTCGAGTACTGTACTGCACTCGAGTTCGAGTACAGTAGCGTATCCTGCAGGTTTCGAGTACTGACAGTAGCGTACTCGAGTACTCGAGTACTGACGAGTCTCCCTGCAGGTACTCGAGTACTCGAGTACTCGAGTACTGACAGTAGCGAGTATCTCTGCAGGTTTCGAGTACTCGAGTACTCGAGTACTGACAGTAGCGTATCTCTGCAGGTTTCGAGTACTCGAGTACTGACAGTAGCGTATCTCTGCAGGTTTCGAGTACTCGAGTACTGACAGTAGCGTATCTCTGCAGGTTTCGAGTACTACGAGGCCAGTGCGAAGGAGAACATCAACGTGCGTCAGGTGTTCGAGCGTCTGGTCGACATCATCTGTGTGAAAATGTCCGAGCGCGTCGACGTCGAAGCTCCGGCCGCTGCAGGAACCAAGACGACCAGACTGACGGACAAACCCGCCCAGCTGCCGCAGAAGTGCTGCTGA